GCTGCTGCTGCTGATTCTGCTGCTGTTGCTGCTGCTGCTGCTGTTGCTGCCTTTGCACCTTCTGCATATGCCATTTCTGGGAAGAAGTCTGAAATTTGTTTGAAGAATTCCATACTACCCGCTGCACAGCTGGGACGGTTTCCTTTGGTAGGAGAGGTCTCTGCTTTTTTACTGGGCTGCCAGTAGCTGCAGCTGGAGTGCTGACAGCAGAAGCAGCACTTGTCGTAGCTGTAACACCGGCTGGGGGTGTCTGGGATGCTGATCGAGTAAGCACGTGGGTTTCAACTGGAGGCTGACTGTTGACACTTGAAGGAACTGGGGTTTTAGCTGCAGCTAACCGGGTAAAAAGCAAGAACAAAGATTTATTGGAAATTCAGTGTTATAAGGGAGTAGGATAAAACATTGATTTCCAAGCATTTGATTCTTTGTTATCAAGTGAAAATCTACTGTTTTAGATTTAGAAAGAAATGTACAAGGGTTTGCAAAAGCATTATTTCACCCACAAGTATAATTAAGTGGAAGTAAATAGCTATATATAATTGCTTAGAGTGTCGACTTTTGGTTTTGACATTTCACTACTGTACTCTCCTGTCATTTTTACTCTCTTGTATGTCCTGTTTTTAATAGTCTTTGTCACTAGTTTATATTTATCCATGATATCAGAAGCTGAAATCTTCAGATTTTGAAACAGTAAAACTGAAATCAAGGCATTTTCAACTAACAAAAGTTGCTGGTCCCAACTGCAGTTATCAAGCAACATGGGAAACCTTTAAAACCTTAGCTGTATTAGCATTCATATTTATCATAAGGCACATATATCTATTCTATATACCATCAGTTATGTTTCATTTGAGTCTCTGAGCAGAGATTCATATATCTATTCTTTTTTTAACTTTTAGTTCTCCTAAGGAATGACTCCTGGATCTTTTTAACATTTTCCTCTGAAACAGTAGTTAAGACATAAGTGCTAGGATATTTCCTGCAGATGGAAATTCTTATGCAAGGTGCCACAGATTACTAAATTCTAATACCTTTAGAACTTTAAAATAAGCATAGAAGTTACAGGTTAGACATGTGAGTTAAACTTAATAGAAACAAATTCAAGGTTTTTCACTTAGGAAAAGAAATTGAATGCAGAATAAGCAACATAAGTGAAAGAAATATTGCAATTATACTTAATCACAAACTTAGTATAAGTCAGTAGTGTGATGTGGCTGAATAAAAAGGAAGTGCAATTCTTAAAATATTTTTTTAACCTACCTTTATTGATTTTTTATAATTAACTCAAGGTGGCAAACATAATGTTCCTTCTTTTCCCCACAACAACAATCTGGTGAGATAGGTTGGACTGAGAGAATGATTGGCCCCAAGTCAATCATCCAGTTTTTCATGCTTAAGGTGGGACTAGAACTCACAGTCTCCTGGTTTCTAGGCCAGCACGTAACCACTACACCAATTATAATATGCTTCTTATGCTTTTTAGATTTTAAGAAAAAAATGTGATTCAAAAATGTCTTAGAAAAGTGAGAATAGCTGAAGGATAATCATAAAAAAAATAATCTTCCAATTCCATTCTATTCTATTTATGGTAAACAATTGATAAAATGCAACCTATATTTCCTTGACACTATTTGGATTAAACAGTCAGAATTTCCTGCTTGCATATGGCAAATAACTATCACAAGTATGGATTCCTTATGTTAACACAAGAGGTAAGGTCTGACACACATACAAACACACACATACACCCGCCCTGAATGCATTTGAGCCTTATCTAGTGTTTCCTAGGCAAATCTGCTAGTCTGGGAAGATTCCTGTGAAATTGGTATACAGAATAATAAAGTAGCTAGTTTGGATTCTACAAGTTCAAATTGCATGAATTGACCCCATGGGCTCTCTTACCAATCTCCAAGCAAATAGACTTCTCCCTTGCAATCTTGTTTAAAGAGAATCAAATGCTTAGAAGATCCCATTCTGCTAACTCCTCCCTTTCAATTCTTAAAAAAATATTTCTAAACTAAAAAGTGGGTTTAATCAGAACTGACATTTGTGATTGTGAATCAATATGTATATTTGCTTATTTTAGGGATAGTACTGCTATGTTTCTTTAGGTGTACTTCTCTGTGCCTCCCATGTATTGTGCCAGTCATTGACTAATTGGCCAGAGTTTATGCCTTGAGGGAGGCAAGAGTCAAGGATATATATTGCCATACGTCTATAACGCTTCTTACTGTAAAATCAGGATCAGCTTGATAGAATAACAATTAGGGCATCAATTCAATTTCCAAGACATTTTAAAGAAATGCTATGTTGTATTTCCAAGAATGTGTTCGAAATGTTTTGAAATCATGAAAGATACACTGTGCTTGTGGTAATTCTCTTTAATAGTTAGTTATAAAGCAGTTCTTTATTTAGGATGTTCTGTGCACACAAACTATCCTTGATTACTTTATTATGTAACATCTATACAGCTTTGTGGTTCTTGCTGTTGCCATTACTGGGGCAAGCGACCAGTAATTGGCTGTAACCTGCTAGCTCTGAACTCATGAGTATTTGGATCCTTTCCAGTTTGTTGGTTTGCTAAGTAATTTTTTAGCCATGAGAATGTCAATTGAGAAGTATGGGAATTTTTTTCTGACTGGGAATCCAAACTGACCTAACTCCCACTACTGTATTGCAATATTGTGCAACTGATGTAACTTATTTTCTTTATCCTCTCCATATATTTGGTTTAATGACTCCAGCTTCTTTTCGTGACTCATTCTGAAAAATGAGCCAGAGTCGCTTGTTTGAATAACACCCTAAACAAGCCACAGGAGGAACAGTTTATAGTTTCTAAATCATGCCCATTTATTGAATACTACAGTACAATTAGGTTTTCTACACCACTTCACCCAATTGGCCTATACTATTTCCCTTTTCACATTATTCCCCTCTCTCATGACTTTTTCTTTTTCTTTTCCTACACAGATAGTCCATGATTAACTACAGTAACTGGAATCGGAATTTACATTGCTAAGTTATGTAGTTGTAAAGTACAACATGATATGACCACATTTATAAATGATGGCAAATTCTGCAGTTCCCATTGCTGTTATTATATAAGGATCACATATTGTTAAATGAGGACCTCCTTGCAACTTCCTACCAGCTTCTAAAAAGGAAAAGTCAGTGAGGAAATTGGCAAGAAGTTGCAAGTCCCAGGCAGTTTACAAGGAGGTTGGTAGGGAGCTAACTGGCTGCAGCCCAGTGAGGAAGGGTGCATGGGTGACTGGTGAGGTCAAGATGCAATGCAAGCACAGCAGGGCTGATGGAGTGTGTGTAGTACGAGTGCAGTGGAACCAAGCGAAGGTATGCAGGTGGCTGGCAAGGCATGGATGGAGATGGCTGCTGCTTAGGTGAAAGAAGCAATGGGTGCAAGGATGGCAGACAATATGCCATGGATATTGGGGGGGGGGGATTGGGGGAAAATGTGTGAATGGTCGGCAAGGCACCAGAACTGAGGGATTGGAGTAGAGTTGGCTGGCAAGATGTGGCCGGGCATGGCTGTTGCCAGAAAGAGGAGGGTGTGATCCAAGTATAGAGGGGCTGTGTGTGTGTGTGTGTGTGTGTGTGTGTGTGTGTGTGTGTGTGTGCGTGTGGTGTGCAGATGGCTAGTGAGGCACAGCACAAATGCAGCAATAGTGGGTCAGGGTGCAAGCAACCCCAGAGCCACAGTGTGGCGAGTCTCATGCATGGCTGGGATAGTTAGAACAGCGATGGGGAGGCAGACAAAGGTGACAAGGGAGAGCTAGGGGATGAGGGACCATTATAAATGTGGGCTGACTGGCTTTAATTTTTATCCTGTGACTATGAGGGCACTGCAATTGGCTGGAAGTCTATTTTTTCGGTGCCACCATAACTTTGAACAGTCACTGAACAAATGGAGCTTAAAGAAGTAACATTTTTTTATATTCCTCAAGTATTTTTTTCTTGCATATTTTTGTATTGAAAGACATCTTTGGATTATCTTGAGTTTTCCAACTCCTTTCTACTGTATTAAAGTTTCTCTTGTGTAAAAGTCATATAGTTTTGGTTGCAGAAAATAACATAACAGCTCCATTTTTAAATAGTTTTCATCAGTGTGGAAATACAAAAAATCTTTCATTTAGGGTTTTCAGGACAGCTCTGAAAGTGGTATTCAGTATTTTCATGATCAAGAAAAAATGTTAAAGTATCCTACCTTCTTGTTTAGGAGGCGATTCCTTGACTTCTTTTTTGTTTTTTCGTCCCTCACGACCACACTGGTCTTCACCTAGGTCAATAACTAGCTCATTTTCTGAATCAGAATCTAGACCAAGATGCACTGTTGGAGAGTCCGTCTCCTCTTTAGTTTTCAGTTTTTCCTTCGCAGGATGTGACAAATTTTTCACTTTTTCTGAAAGCTCTTTATCAGAGTCTACATTTGCCTTCTCTTTGGCAGGGCTATTTATTTTCTCCGCTTCTGAGCTTGTACTTTTAATTTCCTCTTTTTCTTCTGTTGGTGTTGGTGGCTTTAGTTTTTTTTTCACAACTAAAGATTCTTTATCATTTCTTATACCTTCTTTTTCTTTTTCTTCTTCTTCCTGATCATTTTTGGACTTCTGTTCATCATCACTGATATATTCACTATCACTGGAGTCTGACTTTTCAGAATCCTCTGAGTCACTATGCTCTACTGCAACATCTTCAGATATTTCATTGATTCCTAATCATAAAAAATAAACAATTTTTACCCCATTTATTTCCAATAGCTTATAGTTTAAAGATAAAGCCATGTGAATCAGTGAACATGCATATAACAGATCTATTCATAGCAGCCCATTGATTTTAAATCTTACAACAAAAATTATGTGAAAGAAAATCTTTCATATTTTAATACTGTATGAAAGTAGCATTCGCTTGTTCAAAAATCTGAATACAAAGGGCTCTAAATCCTGGCTTCTTTGGATACAGGGCTAATACTTCCTTATCAACTATATTTATGAAGTATTGGTAAAAAGAATGTATTCAGTGCATATACAATCAATCATATCAAATACATACGGATACCTAGTTGTGCTTTACAACTCTCTATTGTTTTGTCAAGATTCAGCTGGAATCTGCTGCGAATTTGTCGTTTTGGTGAAATCAGTGGCACAGGAGTAGATTGCTGCTGGACAGATTCACTCAACTCTTTCAGATCCATTTCAGCTTTACTACGATCTAGAATATTAAGTTAAAATATTTCCATTAAGTAATTGAATTTAAGCAATCACAAAATAATTTAATTACATTCATTAAATATTATTGATTACTACTGCAAATATTGGATGCACGGTTATAAACTTATAATAGCTTATTTTAGGACAGGACAGAAGTAAATAAGAATTATGCATTTAATTATGTATTAAGATAGTACCTAATCAACACGCTGAACATTTCTTGTGCTAGTGAATAAATAAACAATCCTTGACTAAGTTGATACCAAAGTTCCATATACTAGTATAATATAGTTGGTCCAATCTCTCACAAAAATCAGCCATCATATCAGTTTTTTCAGTGGCACTTATTGCATTTAGGCTGAAAACCAAGAGAATATTAATCCAAAATTTAGTTATCAGCACTTGCAGGCAAGTGTGCTCTCTAATTACCACTAACATATATAAACCTCATATCCATTACTGCACGGACAATCTTATTTTACCAAGATTAAGATTAAGAATGCTGCCTGGAGTAGATGTTCTTTCTTGCTTTGCAGCTGTAGGAGTTGATGGTTGAGGAGAGAAAGGTTTGGGACTACCCGACAAGCTTCCAGTTTGGCCTGTCCTTGTTGGTGCTGGAGAAGCTGAAAAACAATGTAATTGACACAAAGTAAATTTCAACTATAAACTGAGGTTATTTAGGCAGAGATAAAGGTCAAGTCCCTCTGTGTAACTTGTTTCCCATTTTTTGAATAGTAACTCCCTACAAAGTATCACAAATTGTTTTTGAAACTGAGAGCAAACACTTTCTCCATGAGGGAAACTGGCAATAAGGTACCTATGCAAAATCAATTAAAAAACATAGATAAGGGACATGCAAAAGTAGTTCTTTCGTATGTTGGCCATGGAGTCAAATGATAAATGATCTAATGTAAGAAAAGAAATAAGAAGCAAGTAGTGAGAAACTTCTTCAAGACTTCCAATGAAACATGTATTTCTAACCACTCTCTCTAACTCTTATCTCCTTTTAAAGTTCATTTAACCAATATTCAGGGGAAATTGAACATAGAGGGAATGCTTATATAAATCAAGAATTATATAAAATATGAACTTGCTAACTCTTTCATTTTAGAAAGAGGAATATTTAATTTTGGAATTCTTTCTTTTTTCTATCCATTTAAATTTCTATTTTTTCTTGTAGTAAATTTCATATTTAATTAATTAATTATGAACCTTATTTAATAATTAACCATATTTAATGGTTAATTTTTTTGAAAATAACTAATTCAAAGCAAAAGGACTCTCTTGAGGCATGTTTAATTCTGGATGACTACTGCTCTATGTCTATGTAGTTTCTTTGGTGTCATTGCTATCTTCAGGGATTTTTCAATATCCAATCTACCTATGGTGCTGGTATTTCCTCATGGTCTTTCATGCAAGTGACACCTAAGGTCAGATCATGGTTAGCTTTTGAGGGATCATCCAAGAACATTTATATGCTGTCACTTAATTATTCAGTAATTACTTAATTACTTATTAACTAAGACAGTTCAGATATAATGACTGGCAAAAATAAATCATATTCTAACTGACTTCTTTGGTATCAAGCTAAGCAAGAAATCTAGGATAATATTTATGTTATAAAATACATTTCAATATGCTGTTTAGCCTTTAAATGCAAAGCCACAATCGTTTGTTTTTTACATCACTTCTTCTAACGCAATCTAACGTGGTTAGTACAAACCGTTGTGGCTAAATAATAGTCAATTTGAAATAAGGAAAAAGTTATCAACAGAGACCAGGAGAATGATCAGGTCTGCAGAATAACAATAATAATGTGAAAAATCTATCTGAAGACAATAGGTGAGAAAAGACAAGCTAACAAGAACCACCCAGGCAGTCATAAGCAAAAGCCATGAAGCATTGAATGACCCCAAAAAATCCTGATTGTAGGAAGTGGCTGATCATTTATTTTTTCACAACAGAACATATACTACAAACCATTATACTAAGAATATTTGAATGAAAATAAGTACTGCATATATTCCTAATATTTTTATTCTCTTTCCATAGAACAGACATGTCAAACACAAGGCCCGGGGGCCAGATGCGGCCCGCAAAGTGGTTTCATGTGGCCCGCAAAGCCATCCTGAAAACAGTGAGGGAACGGCCCCCGCTGCCTTGGCCCTGGCCCAGGCTGGCCGGGAGCCAATGTACAATTTTGTGGTGGCCATCTATGCTGAAACGCATTCAGTCTTAGCTCCACAAGGCCGTCTGGAAACAGCAAGGAACCAACCCCTGCCGCGTGCATGGGTGCATGCTGGGGAGGTATCACCCTTTGTGAGGAATGAAGAAATGCACCATCGCCTGGAAGTGGCCAGCAAATGGCCCTGGCCTACTTCACATATTTGGCTTGATGGGCTCTGGGGAGGGGTTTTGGCAGGCAGCGGGGTGCTCTCCTCACAGCGCCGAGAGGCTGAGCCAGGTGGCGCAAATCCAAAAAGAAGCGTGACACCGTCCAGCCCACCTGGTTTCGGCAGGCAGCGGGGCACTCTCCTCATAGCGCCGAGAGGTTAAGCCGGGTGGTGCGAAGCTCACTAGCTTTGCACCTTGCTGCCTGCTGAAACTGGGCAGGCTGGGGGACTAGGCAGCATTGCACTTCTCATCAGATTCACGCCGCCCAGAGCAGCCTCTCAGCGCTGTGAGGAGAGCGCCCCACTGCATGTCGAGATCAGGCAGGCTGGGGGTTGGGCGGCATCGCACTTCTTTTCAGATTCGCACTGTCTGGCTCAGCCTCTCGGCGCTGTGAGGAGAGCGCCTTGCTGCTTGCCGAAACCGTACTTAGGAAAGAAGGAAGAAGGAAAGGAGAGGGAGGGTCTGAGGGAAGTCCTACCTTAGTCCTGCCCTGCTGCCCTTTTATCATCCCCTTGCCCCCTCCTCCTGGCCTATCCTGGGGGTCTCCCATCCTATTGCTAAGGAAGCTTTGGATACAAAGCCGGGTCTCCTCCCATGGAGAGGGAATGGGCCTCCCTCTGACTTTGCCCATGTACCCATCATGAGCAACCTGGCTAAGGAGAGCAAGCACAGCAGCAGCCTTGAGGAGGAGGTAAGGGCAGCTGGGCGCTCCCTTGGGAAAGTGGGGCTGGGCTTGATGCCGCAGGTGCTCGAGGGCCAGGCTGGGCGTTTGACCTCTGCTTCCCAGGGCTCCGGGCAGCCTGCACCACCATCCAGCCCCCCCCACACGGCCTGAGAGGAACAGTGAGGCTCCTCCAGTGGATCATGCCTTGGCACTTGCCCTGGTCCCACCCCCTTCTGCCAGAGATCCTCAGATCTATCCCACTCCTCCCCAGGCACCCACAGGCACCCTTGACGCAAACGATGTAGAGCTGGCCATGCCCACCCAGTAGGCCGCACCCACCGTGGCCACATCCACCAGGCCCCCTGAGGGCAACCGCAATGCTGATGCGGCCCTCAATGAAATTGAGTTTGACACCCCTGCCATAGAATATCCATGAAATATAAATGAAATGTGAACAGGAGTTCAAAATTAGGTGGGATATTCAATCCTCTTAAGATTTTTATGACTAGTCTGTATGTGTATGTATATATATAACATGAATATCACAAATATACTAAAGAACAATTTAGAACCTCAATGTCATTGTTCAAACAAATAAGGCACAATTTATTTTGTTTAGTTCTATTTAAAAAGTGTTATTAAAACAAGAATACATAACAAATAAAAAGAAATTATTCTGAAATGTTTAAAATGTGATTTCCATAGGGGAACTGCTAAATAACAGAACAAAAATAATTATTTTTAAAAAAGTATAAAGTACAAAGATATCCAGATTGGATCCAAATGAAGTAACGTTTACGTCTTTGCTCTATATCAGAAACAGCCGTACATCAATATTTAGGTGGTCTTCTGATATTATTTGTCATTCACCTAAGGAATTCAATGCAAATTAGTATGTTAAGGTTAATGCTTGATATAGAATAGCTGAGCTTTCCAAATGGATTATAACTGGTTTATAGTAGTTTATTCTGCTTAATTGTAACATTTGGCAAGCATTGATTTTAAAAAAGAAAGCAAATTCTGAGTTTGTTCAAGATCAGATTATTTCATTTATCTGTGGCCCAAATTTCCAAAAACATAAAAATGTTGGATATAGTGCTGCTGACATAAATATTCCTGAAACAATAAATTAACTTGATTAATTTTGTTTTACATTATCTTCTTAATATTTTTGCCTATGACTGTAAGTCAAATCTTGTTTCAGAAAGTTAAGTACTTTTTTCCTATACTCCCAAGAAAAATGTACAAAAACCTATTATTATGTACTTATCATTTCAGTATTCTCTGAACTCTGATTCTGTTTCATTATAATTTAGCAGCTGAGAGGACAACCAGAAATTAATTTTTATTTTAGAATACTAAGTTCTTTTAAATTAGGGGTGTGATCCACAATGATGTAATATGATATAAATCTGCAAGGCACTAAGCAGACACCTTGCTGAAAAATTATTCAGTGCATAGGTTATTAATGGGAGTGAGAGTCCAATTAACCCTGAAGACTACAAAGCATTTTTCTATGTACTAGTTTACATGATAACCATATCATGCTCCTCCTCTTGCATGAAGCCCCTCTAATGTAATACCTTTTGTTCAGTAACTCATGGCTCTTCCCTACATTATAAATTCTTCCCAGGTGGCTGACCTATCACAATTTACCCTGTTATTAGTGTGGGAGACAATCTTTATGCCTCTACTCTACTCTTATAATTGGTCCCAAGAACATTGGATAGAAGCTTAGGAATACTGCTGCACCTGAGTCTAGTAACACATCCTATAAAGTATCAGACAAACTTTCCTTCCAGTTTTATAAAATTCCCTGCACTGGTTGATATTAAAGTTCAAATACCATTTGGTATAGCAATTTTGTTTCTGTACTCTTACCCGTACTTTTATCAATAAAATCCATGGACTCTTCACTTGCACTAAAGTGACTAGACGTTGCTTTTTTCTCTCCATCCTGTTCAACATCAGATCCAGTGTGTACTGATGAATTTGTACTCATTGGTGAACGTGGCATGTCTGTTAGGGAAATTCTTCGTCCAGTACTACTACTTAGCATAGGTTTGCTCATTAAAATCTTGGGTGATGCTGTCATATCAAAATTAAGTTTGATTTTCTCTTGTTTATCTGTCTTAGCAGTTCCAGCCCCAGGATTTGAAGGGTCTAACAACATTTGGTACTGATTGTTGGGAGTATATGGTGTCCGGAAAGGTGCATAATTAAATACGCCAAACTTTCTACGAATGTTCTCCACATAAACCTCCATCTCTTGCATTGCACTGTTGAATATGCTTTTAGTCTTTTTCACAGAAAAAGGAATTTCTTTAGACATGAGGTAGCAATTATTTACTGGAACCCAGGCTCTGCAAATAAGACAGTAAAAGAAACCATATAAATGGTACCTAATTTTTATTTCAATTCTAAACATTGTAAAAAGCAATTCTTATACATTTCAATGGCTGTTTGATACATGCTTAAGGTAGAAACTTTATTTAGCACCTACTTGTAAACTGAAAGGTCTACTTAATCAGTCTCCAGCAAAAATTAAAGTTCTAGAAATACATCTTTCAAAACAATTAAAAAAATCAATTAAGGAAATTCAAAATCCAACCTTCAAAAACTAGGTGATGTGCAAAAGACTATATATTGCAATTCAAATTTCTTAAACTGAACGTGATACAACAAAGAAATAACCGTTAACTTCAGTTATTCTTTTATTGCACACCAAATCATTTTGCAATATTATGCTTACATATCATTTAGTCCATTCTATATATGTGGTGATGGCCCCACCATAATAAATATAAAAAATTCTACATATTTGAGGATACTGCTCAAAATCCTGGGAAAAAATTACTTTCTTCATAAAAATAAAAGCCCATATTTTAATTGGCTCTCTTCATGAAATCTATGTATACATAAAGTTTCCTGTTAAAATAAAGAACACTAGAAATAGTTAGAAATCCTGTAATTGTATCACAGAAATGATAGCAGTGAACAAAGAGGCTTTTTCTGTCACTTGAACAAATATCAAATCTTTCAAACCATGTGGGATAAATCCTTCCCTCATGATTTACACTGAGGTTTAGAGCTTTTATGTAGCCAGCCCTGAAAATTCTTCCTTTTTACAGCACTCAAATTAATGGTCGACCATGACCATTTCTGAACAAAAATTCCTTTTACAAATCCTAACTACAATGGTCTTTCTAATTCATAATTCTGTCATGTTTGGTTACGTAAACATCAGTTACCAAATCTGACTAAATGTATCCCTTCAGTGGACAAAATTATGTTATCTTTTTAGATTTTTTTAAAATGAGTTCTCCAAATGTGCTTCTTATATTCTGTACAAAAAAATCACTATTTGCAGAATGTTAACATTTTAACTAATGCAGCTACCACCTAATCATTCACCAAAAAGGAATGATCTGAATTATTCCATCATTTTTTTATTAATTCCCACCTGTCATGTTGACCAAAGAAACGAGCATCAACTTGACCATCTTTATCTCTCAGTGCTTTAGCCGGCCAGAATGGGAAACCCTTGAGTTTAGCCCAAACCAATGGGTGTGGATTGCTCTAGAGGAAAGTGCATAGTGACCACATGGTGAGAAAACTATTTTAAGCCATGCATTATTTTCTAACTGCTGACATGCAAGACAATAGTTATTTATATGACTGAGATTGTAAAAATGTCTCAAATTTACAACTTTAAATGAAGTCATTCTTTGTCCAGCTACTGTATAGTTTTGAGAGGTTTCTCATCTTATTAAAACTATTTTTGTCTTCTTTTAAAACCTGTTCTCTCTGTAGCAACTAGTTGCCAGTGAACTTTTGCCTCATTCTGATTATTCAAAACTTCAGAATAATTCAAACATCGAATCAATTTAAACTAATCTGTACAGATAACTCCATCCTCAAAATACAATATTCATAATTTTAATTAAAAATCAGAATATTACCATTGCAATACTTTAGGAAAATGCTTACATTTGGGCAGTGCAAATAATGCTTCTATATAACTCTCTGTTATCACAGAAACATAGAAAACTGTTGGCAGAAAAAGATATAGATCTGCCTTTGAGTTTGTTTTTTAATTAATTAATTAATTAATTAAGATTAGTTATTTAAATTATTTTTATATTTTATTTATTTTTATTTAATTTTTCTGGATGATGGACATTTATCACAAGCATGTTTAAACTCAGTTACTGATGATTAACCTACTACCTCCTCTGGAAGTTGGTTCCAAGCTTCCATTAGTCTTTCTGTGAAGTAATATTTTCTAACATTACTTTTGAACTTCGTCAGTTTGAAGTTAAATGGATGACATCAATGTAAGTATAGTATTAAGTTATTTTAGGATTTTGCAAAATATAGAATATAATGTGGCCCAACACACATAGATATAATTTATAGAATTTATAATAATAAAATAAGAATAGTAAAATGGATTTTTTAGTTTAAAGGCACATTTTATATTATGATGTGATGATTAACTGTAATGTGTTACTGTTTCAATTTTTTTAAATTCCATGTCTACACTTTGCTAGTTATAAGCACAAAAGAAATAAAACATCTGCTATCGCTACTTAAAATACATGCATATATGCATATGTCACATCATTATGCATATCATTCCTAAGTAATTCCCCTACTAAACAAGCAGTCTCCAGTTTAAAAGCAAGGTTCTGTTCCCAAAGTCTGTCCTTAAATCAAATTTGTATAAAACTTGGAAGAGTATTATTGTATACTGCTGTATAAGTAGTACTGAGTAATGAACTCGAACCACTGCATATTTAACTTGAATCATTATATTTAACTTGAAATCTGATACAATAGGCTCCGTTCTTAACTATGGGTTGTCCTTTAACCGGAGTGTTCTTAACAAAGGGATTTGCTGTATATTCCCCAAACCATAAGAAATCCAGACAGGCTAAAAACATTGTGTAATTAAATGTGATGCTGTATAGAAAAAAAGTAAGGACTTCTGAGATTTGATTTTTAAAAAACTGGTTGTTAATAGATTTCAAGTTTCAAAAAAATTATATTTGAATGCATTGAGGCTTCAATGATGTTTCATTACAGGTGACAAAGCAGGGATGAGACAATGGAAGAGGCTTTATCTCAGAGCTGAATTGTGATTCTAGTATTTATGTAACAACTTCACTTAAGGTTTGCCTTACCTATTAAAATATATGTCCATTTGCTCATTTATAACATTATTAAGTTATTATATTTAAACCTGAATAATAGTGCCAAATGATTTTAGGATTTGGAAATATTAACCAAATCTAGATCACTTATATTTTCCATCAGAGATACTCAAATGAAGAAAAGACTAACTATTCAATTTCTATTAATTATCAATCAGTCGCAATGTGTGGGTTTTGAGCACAAACAGAAGAATTTTTATTTAAAACAGTATGCATAAAAATGAAATCCACTGTGCTTCTGTATATGCTATTTATCATTTAATATCCCCCCCTTCCTTTTTTTACTTACACAAGGTTCACAAAACCAATTTTCTCGTTTTTGGCAAGCAGCTAAATAACATTCTGGACATACTTCAATTTCATTCATCTGTAAAAACAAACATGAACTATTATGGAGTTGGAGCATAAGATTAAATGTATTTACAATTCTATTCAATCCTGCAATCAAGAGTAACATGGCAGTCATTTATAATTTTCTACTCCAAATAATTATTTGTCTGTGTGCATTCAGGAATTTATGCATACTAATTTTTGCTGCTTCATAAGGTTCAACATCAGTCTTTTACTATACAGTAAACAATGACTATATATAAATAAATGAAAGTATAAAAGCATTGTGCTTAATAGCAACACTCATAGTTTTGCATAAGAAAATCTTAATTTAAGCAATACATTTAAACGGTGCTGGCATATTTAGTTTTTATAAGATCTTTAGACTTTTTATGCATGGCATACAATTTGCCTTTATCTGTTGATGGAACAATATTTATCAGCTGAATCTGTTTAGAATTCTTAAAGGATTATTTTTTGAAGATTTTGGAGGAGTGCAGAAGGAAAAAGGCTGCAGATTTCCACTATATGTTGAAAAAGTCAATCCACTTTCAAAGGTGTTTTCAACTTGGCAATGCCAATTCTAGATCCATATTTTTCAAAACAGATTTTTATAAAGCTGATATGTTTGAGTAATGCTATAACAAAATCACTGAAAATATTCTAGTCTGATTTATATATAATCTGAAATTATAATTTGATATTTATGACTTCAATTAGTCTATATGCTTAATAGGCACAGGGATTCCATATATGTCTATGCAGAAATACTTTATTTATAGACTTTGTTCTTTTAGATACATGAGTAGAGGACTGCAATCTAAAAACTGGAATACAGATTATTCCAATTCCTGAAATTTTTAAATTTTACTTCATTTTATGTAATGAAAATACTAAAATTATGATTTCTATTTTTTTTAGCATTACATAAAATTGTTAGTTAAATTAGTATAATAAAAATAAATGGAAACTTGGAAATACATACCTCATGTTCACAGATTTTAATTATGACTTTTGCTGTTTGTGTCAATTTGTGATTTCCTGAGGAAACAGGTAAGTACAGATGTCTAATTAAATCTGTTACAAAAGATGCTTATTATTTGTATTATTTAGAGTGCAAACATATTCAGTTTGACATGCATGTTTCAAAAGGCGAAATTAATTAAATACAAATCTTGAATCTAGCCAGTAGAAATGGCAAGTCATAAAAGTAAGTCATTCATAAATCCAGATGTAATAGAGCGACAACATTTCACAAGTATTCATTCTTATTGAACTTATAATTATTAGGTAATGTTTTATTTAGTGTTAAATGAACGCACCTTTTCAACCCAATTTTAAAAGACAAATGAACATATCTTATAGGTATATCACACCTGATTTTATTATTATTTAGATTTGCAAATCATAGCATTATTGTAAAGGAGATATAAAATACTTCAGTTTATACATTAATATACAGCACACATAGGATTAATCTCAATATAAAACCTCAATGTGAAAAAAGCTATTTTCAAAGACCTGTTTATAGGATCTCAACTAAAAATATTAAATATTTATTGTCCCATCTTATCTAAAAGATTCTTAAATTGAAAGAGAGAAAGGAAAGGGATACATTTATTGTAACTCTTTGAGTCACTTAGGGCTGTATTCAACTTGTTTCCTTCTACCGATAGAAGATTTTATGATGTGGGGAAAAACAGATTGATTTGTGAAAGATTTGCATCCCAAAAGCCTTCCATTCTTTTTTGGGCAGGGGGGGAGGGGGCACTGGAGGAAAACACACTACTTTCATTACTAAGTATTTGAAAAGATTTGTGTTCTTTCTACTTGAAAGTTTTGGGCCATTTACTTCAATTTATTGTATAAAAATTAATTACAAGTTTTCCTTGCTTATTGACTGCCTTGTTTAATGACTATTCAAAGTTAGAGGAGTGCTGAAAAATAACATTACAATTGGTCCTCGCATTTATGAACTTTACAGCATAGAATTCACAGCCAGATTCTGACAAGAAAAGTCAACAGAGAAGCCAGCGGTAAAATCACAAGTTATGGTCACAAGATACCTCACTTAATGACAACAGAAGTGAAGTTACAAGTTTGTCAGACGTGACATCTTCCTTAATGACCGGATCTCTTACCAATGGAGTTACTGGTCCTAATTGTGGTCATTAAGTGAGGACTATCTGTACCTTCAAGGAAATATGCATATACCTACCCCCATTGTAAATAATGCAATTGTGCAAAATCCATTTGGCATCAGCCAGAAAGGCTTCAGTGCAACCATACATCTTCTTTTTAACATTCTGAAAAAGATAACATAAACATTGTAATAAAATGAGGAAATAATATCTAAATCCTGAAGCTATCTACTATATCTTATTTTCTTAATATCTTTATTCCAAATAAATGAATGGAAAGATTAAAACTGAAATAATCATGAACTGGGAATAGACATTAGATTCAGGAATGAGCTTTCAAAAAGTTAGATATTATAAACCTCAATATAATCAATTAGGTGCCATTTTGGCTACCAACATTGTTGGAATATAATTGCAGCATATCAAATATAATTACTGAAACTTGACCAAATTATAGGAATTTTGAAACGTATTGTTATGGTCATTTCTTTTTTATATATGAAAATCTACTTTGTATCATGGAACAGAGTACCATAATACATTTGAGGGGGAAAAGAATCACCGATACTTTCTTTTTAAATTATGTCACTTAAAATAAAAAAAAATGTTCACAGGAAGCAAGCCTCAAAATTGATTCTATGAAACAAATAGTTGAACACCCTCTATAGTTAAATTAAATTGGGCAACTAACATCGTACTCTTTGCCTCTCCCACTCTCTCAGAAACTTTGCATGCACTTATTTCCAAAACGTAATATAAGCAGATTGCTCTTTGATAAAAGTAAAAATGATATGCTTCTTGAAACTAAACAACTAACTGGCCCTATGTTAAAGGTTCTAAGAATGTTTGCCCTGCAAAAGAGACAACTGTGGGGACATATCAAAATAATTAAGAAGACTTCCACATACAGCAAGAAGTGGACATTCTCTATTGCCCCATAGGGCAGAACCAGAACCAATGGATTGATATAAGATATAAGAAAGGAGATTGAGGCTAGATGTCAAAGGAATATTTTTTATTTATACGGTCTGTCAACCAATGGTATAAGTTGCTACAGGAAGTGATTGAGTCCCCTTTGGAAGAGATCTTCACCAGGGGCTTGATGATCCTTAGTCAGAGATGTCCAAACAGATCCTACAAAGGGGTTGGATTAAATGACCAGTAAACTAAGCTCCCTTCCAACTCCATATTTTCACTTAATGAACTTCACACATTTAAAAGAGAGCCCTTATTTATCACACCAACAAAATCTTCCCTGTTTCTGTAAGCAATAAAATTGAAAAAAATTAACAATGATCTTATACAGCGGAATAATCTCCTTCTTGTCTACCAACCTTTTCTAACGTACAAAGGTCCATTGGATGAAAGATGTATTCTGCATAATCTGGATGCTGGTCCAGTGAAACTGGCTTTTGAAATGGCTCTGTCTGTTTCAATAAACACAAAAAAATTACAGTTACAATATAAAATCCTTCTAAAAACAATTATATTGCTTAAAAACAAATAATGTGTCAAAACCAGGGTGATTATGTTTGCAATCTAGCTAATCAATCAAACTGAGCAAGAATCATTTGTTTAAATTTAATCAGGTAAAAGCTTGAAAATCAGACGTCATATATTATAATCACTGGGCATTCATTAGTCCCAATTCATGCCCAAATAAGAACATAATGACAGGTAGTCCTCTCTTAAGAACTGCCCAGTTCAAAATTACAAAAGCACTGAAAGTTACTTTTCAACCAGTCCTCAGACTTATGACTGTTACAGCATACCAACGTCACATGATCATGACCATGTTGCCAGTCCTAAGTATGGTTGTTAAGTGAGGACTCCCTATAATTGTCACATGTTCATATATGTATTACAAAATTAATGCAACTTTAACACATTCATATTTGGAATCTCTCCCAGGTCTATATCTATGTGTTTTATTAAAACATTGACAAACACACAGCAGATCTAACAATGCTCTTCCTCTACATCTTAGTCAAGCCAATTTTAACTGAATTTTAAATTTATTTATTTTTTTATTAATTATTTATTTTTTAACGTTTTATATGGTATTTTTACTGAATAACTATAAGCTGCCTAGAATTGCCTCAGCGAGATGAGCAGAGATAGATAGATAGATAGATAGATAGATAGATAGACAGACAGACAGACAGACATTGTACAATGTTAACACATACTATATAACTAGATAGCTAAAGACAATTTATTTTCAAACAAACAATACACAGTAGAGTCAAATATCAACACATATCCTCTTACCCCTGGCTGTTTCATTTTTTGTAGTGCAAACTTGAGCAAGTAGGATAGCTGTTCAATAGTGAGCATTGTCATAGCTTTACTCTGTGTTTCTATGCATTCTGCTACAGTAATTTTCTAAAAATAAAAATAAAAAAATACAATTTTTACATGCAAAAGCAAACACTGAAATTTATTTTACATTACGTGGAATTATCCATGTTCATGAAAATACTGTGCTATTTCTCCAGGGTGGAGCACAGATGTTTTGTACATGGTTGCATCTGACCAATATCAAAAAGCTAAGTAGGGTCTCATCTAGTTAGTATTTGGATGGCAGACCACTAGGAAAACTTAGGGCTATAAAACAGACTGGGAAATCAAGCAGTGACAAGCTACTTGTTTATTCTTGGCAATAAAACCACAGGGATGATCCATCACAAATCTAGCATGACTGGAAGCAGGCTTCACATTCACTTCATTATTTTCCTGACTGATTTTAAAGGCCCATAAGGCAATGAATTATATACAGTATACCACGATGCATAGCCTTAATCCATATTTGATTATGTTGAAATCACTGCAACTACTACCTCCTTAAATCTCACTAGTTTCAATGAACATTTTAAGAGTGATCAAGTCTGGATCTAATCAACTTATTATCCCAATCTAACTTTCTTTCTTGAGCATGTCCATGGCCTAGAATTCTTCATTGTTTGTTTTTGGTAAGTGGAAGATACAACATGTACAAAATAAATACAATACATATAAAACAGAATTTAAAATAAGGTAGCATAGTTGCCTATATATAGAAGAAAACGCTTGAGTGGCAATATCAATTCTTTGACTCATGTCCCACAGCATATAAACTCAAACAGTCTATAAATATAAGAACTATAAATACATTTTTTCTAAAATAACCCTATTTCTTTTTAAAGATAGTGGTAACAATTAGCAGATTTTGTATGAGGCAAATTATTAGTCATATCTAGCATGTTTTGAGAAAATCTATTGTTATTCTCTGTTCACATTCCTTATAAACTTACAGACACAACAACTTAAACTTGTCTTTTAAACGGTATTTTAAATGTTCTGGAAGCTGCTTTTTTCTGAAATGTTTTCACACTGTACAATGTATACTTAATACACAAAATGAATAATTTCAAAATAAAATTATGAAAATGCCAGAGTAAAACATTTTATCATGATAGCATGTAATCTTAATATCCTCTGCTTTCTCATTCACATCCTGCCCTTCTCCATGGTATCTGACAAAGCAAATCCAATGAGCCTACAAAATAAATTGTGACTAAAAAAACCAACATCATAACAAAACATAAAACTGCTAAATATGATAAAGGCCTTAATTTGTACGATTATTTACATTAACCTTCTATCTTTTCAAGACATGACTACACAGTCAAAGTCAATGATAAGAGAACCATTTTCTAGAAAGTGAGAAATTAGGAGCAGGGAAACAAATATGGGCCTCATACCTCACATTCTGGGCAAAACCAATCCCCCTCTGGCTCCGCTGTCAGTTTCAGACACTTAGCATGATAAACCCGAGGGCAGAGTTCACAGCAGAGGACTTGGCCTTCCCGATGACAAACCCAGCAATAGAAATCATTCCGTCCATCCTGCGGTACAACATCAACAGGGTCTGTGGTGAGTGGCTGCTTCATATAGTAAAACGGACCATGTCTTAGTTCTGACTGAAATGTAGGCAAGAAAGACAGGTTTGGTTTCAAAACAAATTTGTATTTTAAAATTAAAATAAGCAAATATGACCAATCAGCCCCCACCTAATGTTTATGTAGCTCCAACTCTCATTCAGCACACCACGAGTATTTGAAAACAAAGCTTATAGTCACTAAAGTAAATACATTTTTTCCAAATCAGAGCCACTGGATCTTCAACTAGAAGCAAACTACATGAACCATTATTCATTTGCTTAGTAATTTTGCGGCATTTTAAAAAATAATCAGTATTTAGGGATAAGTGAAGAGGGTTTTATTCTTTATATTATGTAGAATTGATCTGGATCAGAAACTTCTACAATTGAACCACACATATAATTAAATTTCCTCTCAATGGGAAAAGTGGCCACTGGAAAAAGATGGAGCAGGGGTTGTGAGATGGATTGAAATAATTATTTCAAAGCAATGTTCACAATGAATCTTCTTTTAAAATATTTACTGAGACTAAAGCTAGTTACAAGAATATTGCAGCTGAACTATTTCCTTCTGAGAACTAATTTATCCCATAATACATTAGGAAAGAGACTTTCTTAATTTCTTTCTAATTTCTTTCCTGTGAACTGGTAAGGAAGCGATTTTTTTTCAAGGATAAAAGGAGTAACTTTCAGCTGGCTGTCTGCACAACCATCTCCAGTCTCCTTATCTGTGAACTGGCAAGGAAGCGATTTTTTTTCAAGGATAACAGGAATAACTTTCAGCTGGCTGTCTGCACAACCATCTCCAGCCTCCATATCTGTGAACCCAATCTTACAAATATATTAAATCCAGGCTGCACTTTTTGGTGTGTGTGTGTGTGTGTGTGTGTGTGTGTGAGAGAGAGAGAGAGAGAGAGAGAGAGAGAGAGAGAGAGAGAGAGAGAGAGAGAGAGAGAGAGAGAGAGAGAGAGAGAGAGATATCTGTGCTATTCCATTGAAAATGGGAAAATACAACTGTTTTTCCAAACAGTATGCATAATTAGATAATGTTTTAAATCTAACAACCTCTATTACAGAAATCCAGAAAGCCCAAGCTGTGTAATTTATCTAGCTGATTTAGCTGATTTATCTAGCATGTTTCTATATATAAAACTCTTTTACCAAAGGAATTGCACAATTAGATGAATTGCTAACATATATCATAAACACGTAATAATGATACATTGGCTTCCTTTTAAAAGACAAAATATACTTAGAATTAGTTCTGTTAAGAGAACATAATTATATTAAATACTACAGTGTTGAGAAATTTGTTTTGTTTCAAGAAACAATGGAAGAATCCCTACAGTATCACTTACTTCCTATTAACAATATATGGTAATTAACATTCAGCCAAGTTAACAGCTCAACATAATTGGTAAGACTATCCCCCCAAATACACTTTTTACTTACAATCCTTTCCAGAACTATTCTGACAGCTACTCTGTCTGGGAGCCCAAGTGTGAATACTGTATGCAGCAATGTCTTGCACCATTATTTAAAACTGTAGATTTATACAGTTTGTCTGCAATGTAAAAATCTATAATCTGTTGTAATTTAGCTTATAGTGATCTGGCAGAAATGGATAAATCTATAGGTACTGTAGTACCTTCTGATAAAATGAGGACTTCTGCATTTCAGATAAATTGGATGTGTTCTGTTGACAGTAAAATGACTTTTTAAGGCATATTTTTTTTTTAAAAAATGCCCTCCCTTTGCTTTTAGCATCTTTTTTTAGAGATAATCTGAACTCAAGATTCCAGCTTGATCATGTAATATTTTTATGTATTTATTTACTCAATTTCTGCAGATGCCCATCTAGTCAATGACGCTGGTTGGCTTACAATTCAAAAAAATATTACAATTAAAACACTAAAAACATTTTAAAACACTAAAATAAAAAATAAAAACATCATACATACACACACACACACACATATAAATAAAATTTGACATTTGTGGAAATAACCTGTCTTCTAGTTCTCACGATTTGAAAGCCTTTGGCTAATGGGATCTGCAGCATGTCCACTCTGCTAAATCGGGTTGACCAGGTAGAGACCCTTGGAAAAAGAGGTACCCCAGTCCCAAAGCATGTAGAGCTTTAAATGTGACAACCACCACTTTGAATTGCACCTGGTATCATACCAGTAACCAATGCAGCTCAGGCAGAAGTGGTGCTGTATGGGCTGTACATCTGGCACCATTTACTACCTATGCAGCCATATTCTGCACTAGAAGAAGATTCTGAATGCTCCTCAGGGACAGCCCCATGCAGAGTGTGTTACAGTAGTCTAAACGAGAGGTTACAAGGGCATGAATTACTGTGAGCAGGGCCTCCTAGTCCAGATATGGGTGCAATTGGCGTACCACCCAAAGATGTGCAAAGGCTCTCCTAGCCATGCCTGCCACCTGCTCTTTGAGCAGGAGTGCTGAGTTCAGGAGGACACCAGATTGCACACTGGGTTTGTCTCGGGTAGTGTAACCCCATCCAGAACTAAACATGGAATAACCTTGTCTCCTTGTCTCAATACTCATAGCCACTCTGTTTTGCCAGAGTTGAGTCGGAGTTTGTATCACCCATCTAGTCACCCAAAGCCTCCAGATACTGGAATAGGACATCCACAACATCGCCCAAAGGCCCTGGGATAGAGATATAAAGCTGGGTATCATCAGCATATTAATATCTCATCCCAAACCAATGGATCACCTCAACAGCGGCCTCACGTAAATACTAAATAGAAGGGGAGAGAGAACAAAACCCTGAGGAAGGAGGAAAACCATCACAATACAGTGCCACCCACCTTCAATTCCTGAAACCAGCCCAGAAAGATATCATGATCAATGGTATTGAACACCACTGAAAGGTCCAGAAGAGCCAGGATGGATGCACTATCTCCATCTCGCTCCTGCCAGAGATCATCCATGAGTACAATCAACGCCTACTCAGTCCCAAACCCCAGTGTGAACCCCAACTGAAAGGTGTCTAGATAATCCACCTCATTCAGGGTTCTATGAAGATGTTATATGATCAGTCTCTCCACCAGCTTCTCTAGAAAGAGGAGATTGGAGAATGAACGAAAGCTGTCAGGACAACCTGGGCCAAGTGATGGTCCTTTGAGGGGGCATACCACTGCTTCTTTAAAAGTTAATTCTTAAGGAATTACCTATCACTTAGACCCACACAGATTTAATTAGCCAGGAGGAGCATGGATTTAACACACAAGTGGCTGAACTACCGTGTTTCCCTGAAAAATAAGATTTACTTATTTGCTAAAACATGAGACAAAGCGGGGGGAGGAGCTGCCCCATGGACCCCAAATCTGCTTACCGTGCCGCAGGGCTCCTGCTACTGCCACAAGGCATGTCGTGCTGCCATTGCCGTGTGCGTCCCACTGTTGCCGCCACTGCAAAGCGTGTCTTGCTGCTATGAGGCGCATCACACCGCCGTGGTGTGTTACACTGTTGCCACCACTATGAGGTGCATCCCGCCGTTGCCACTGCTGGCATGAGGTGCATCACGGGATGTGCCTTACGGCAGCAGCAGCAACAGCAGCAGGAAGCACCTCATGGCAGCGGCAGCACAGCAAGCCTTGCGATGGCATGATGCACCTTGCTGCCAACGCCGTAGTGGCGGCAGGAGCCCTGCGGCATGGTAAGCGGGTGTGGGGTGCATGGGACTGCTCCTGGAAAAAAATAAGACATTCCCTCAAAATAAGATCTAATGCCTCTTTTGGAGGAAAAAAATATAAGACCGGGTCTTATTTTCAGGAAAACACGGTAGCAGCTGAGCAGGTCCTGTCCATTTCCTCAGGTTCCATGGGCTCAAACTTTGCATGACGTACAACCCACCACCTCCATTGATTTTGCTACAAGGCTGGAGTCCAACGTTGAACAAATATGACCGACTTTGCATAGCATATTCTTTACAGCGACACTTTAGATGAAACTCAGTATTGCTCTCTCCGCAGAGCAACCAAGTCACCCAAATACAGACACTGGGCAACAAGGGCAGAGAAATAGTTATATTTCACCACCCCAACTGCCACAAGGTAGATCCTAATAATGGCTCTGGCTCATGTCCAGTATATAGTTTATTATTATTTACAAGTTAGTCTGACACACATCCTCTTCTACCCGAAATACAGTAAAACAAATGAAAGGCATAAAATTAATACAGAATAAGCAGTAGGTGGAAGGGATATCTGCACCTGAGAAGGAAAGAAAAAGTGGGAAATTAGGCCAAAATGAGGTCAGGAGAATAACAAGAAAGGAAAGAAAAGGAAATAATGCTATTCAAGCATTAGGAAAAGGATTACATTTACCAAACAGCTTATCTCAAGCATCAGCTAATCTCCCCAGCTAATCTTCCAATGCATCCATACTTCTCAGTAGCCATTTGCACCATTTAGTCATTTCTTTTTTATCTGTGCTTTCAACTATGTAAATCTCCAAGTGTATTAAAACCATTTTAAGGAAAAAAAATTCTTTCTTGCACATGCTGTATACTGATGGACGTAGCCCAAATATCTGGCTAATAATCTCTTTAATTTCTTTCATCTTATAAATTATCCAATCAAATAATCAGGGCAAACCATTACTTATGTAGGGACTAATCTTTGCCAAATTATTCTGCTCACTTTTATTGAGAATTTTATTATTATGTTAAATTATTCTGCTGCAGTACTACTGAGATTCTGTTCTTAACTTGGAACCACCAGTAGAGTTTATACCAGATATCTAAAATTTAATTTAAAAATTGCTTTACCCATGATAATTTGAACAGTTAACAGCAATTAAGTGGCTGGAATGTAAGAGTACAAAAAAAAAAAACCCACTCAATATTTTTTACTGTCATTAAAGGAAATCAAGTTCCATCCACAATACGCAGTAACTTATGTTTGGAGGATTTCTTTAAATGATTACGAATTTGTTGCAGAAAAACCCTAAAGCTGCTTGAAAATTAATTGTAAAGAATTTACAGGGAAAAATATCCCTCAAATT